CCACTACCGCCTCGCCCCACCACCGCCGTTGCATTCCCGACGTTGCTGCCAGCACCCCCTCGCCGCGTCCCCCTGGCTGAAGCGGACCAAGCGCGCCGACCTCACTAGCCGGACGTCGATAGGCCTGCTACCAGGTCCAGGGGACGCACGAGGTTCTTCACTGACCAGCTTCTTCGATGACGTCCGCAAGCTGTTCGACGGTTTGCCCAGAAGGTAAAAATGGACTCCGCCGACAAGTTCTTTTTCCACCGAAGGTCAATGTTGAGATCAATGAACACCACTACAACAAAGGACACTACCTAGCTGACGATATCTATTTTCAGTGGAGTATTCTTGTGAAGACAATCCCCAACCCTGTAGAAGAGAAGAGGAAGAGATTTGCCCAAGAGCAAGAAAGTGCTAGGAAGGATGTGGAGCGTGCCTTTGGTGTTCTTCAATCTCGATGGGGCATCGTTCGATATCATGCTAGAACTTGGAGCGCCAAGAAGTTATGGGAGGTGATGACTGCTTGCATGATCATGCACAAAATGATCGTACATGATGAGCGCCCGGAACGTATCTATGACCAAGGGTTTCAGTTTCAGGGTGAAAATATTGTGCCTAAGCATGGAGGAGCGACAACATTAATTATCAAATGTGTGATTGGGAAACCCACATTCAGCTACAAGATGATTTGATTGAGCGTATGTGGTCTCATGTTGGCAACCAATAGATATCTCGGTTATCTTTTCTTTAAAATGTATTTGAGACAATTTAATTTTATTTGGCTTGTAAACTATGAGATATTTTATTTGGTTGTGAAACTATGAGATATTTCTATTTTGTTTGAGTTATGTGGACTAGGGATTTTTTTTCATATGTTTGCACATATAGAGCTAAAAAAATGGACGCAGGCCGGCTGCGAGGACGAAAATTCGTCCGCGCGTTGGGCGCATGGTCGACCCAAATGCAAAAGAGGGCGGACGAGCCAACCCACATAAAAAAACAGACAAAATGCACGTCCAGTTGGGTCGGCACGTTGGAGTTGCTCTTAGATTAGTAACATGCATATGTTACAAACTCTATAGTGGGGGTAACATATGTGTGGTGTCATGCAACACTTATTTATTAGGTTGTAAACTTATCTTGTCTTGGTATGTGTGATGTTACCCATAGTATGAGTAACTAGATATGTTACTCAAATCATCTCTCTCATCACTAAATCATTGCCACATTAACAAATTCGCTGAGTTGAACCATATGTTACTACTGAACTAACTCTCACTATGGGGCAGCCTCAGACTGCTGGCGAGAGGAATGTCCATCCTTTCTTATTACTAGCAGCCTTAGAGCATCTCTAATAGCATGTGTATATTTGGATGTCTATATATTCATATAGACAATGGTCTAAAAAGATTCCCTTATATACACGTTCAGTTTTGCATCAGAATGTCTATATACAGGGACCATGACAGGTGGACCGTCGCTGGGGAGAGAAAGAAATCATGACTGCAGCTGAGTTTAGACAACGCCTTCACAATGTTCAGGCATGGACATTGTCGAGGTCGATTTAGAGGATGTGTATATTTGGACGACCATATAGACAAGCTGTTGGACGCCTATTTTGGACTCACGTCGTGGAAAACGAGTATAGACATCCATATAGACAAGCTATTGGAGATGCTCTTAGGATGGCTTGTAATCGAATGTTATCATATATCTTCTATATCTAAGTTGCTAGTCCCCACTAACCTATTTCTCTCAATACACAAGCACACTTCATCACATAACATGCACGAAAAAAGACCCACCCACTAACCTATTTCTTTATACATGCAAGTATGCCACATCATCATGCAACATGTGCATGGGAAAAAACTCACCTCAACATGCAAACATGCATGGAAATTTCCATTCTATTCTGATATTTACATTTAGTAATTAGTATACAACTATACAATAATCAAACACAATAAATTATATGTATTTTTAGTTATAGCTCTTATATTATGACTCCAAACATTCATGTTTCATACAAGGAATATCATTGAAATATGTTGCAAACTATTCTCATCTAGTTACCTAAATAGTTAATCCCTACTAACTCAAATTCTCTCAACATGCAGCCCTCCACATCAACAAATGTGCCACATCATCATCCACTAACACTGTTTTGTAGTACATGCATACCCTAATTTAATTGTTGTACCTCCATTGGTCCAGTGTACATGCATACTCTTTGTTCACACACAATTACTTCCAAAAATAATACTAGCTTTTGATTTAGGTCATTCATACATAATTCATCCACAATTAATCTTTAAATTCTCGCAGCAACACGCGAGGAAATCACCTAGTTAAAGCAATAAAGCTTTCCATACTCCCGGTAAAAAAGGTGCACACCACTCATGATACACATGTGTTGTACTGTCAGAGCAACTCTAGCAGAGTATGACCCCGACCACCCTAATAATCCCCAACCTTATGACCCCAACCACTCTATAATCGCCAATAGCCATACGACTCTGATCCCCGTATTTTTTATGGAGCATGTAGTTTGCTTGGACACTTCAAGTCGGAGTGTATAAGAATCCCCTGAAGGAGAGAGCACTCATGGTCGAGGAAAGTGATGATGGTGACATGATGTTAATGTGCGGACTCATGGACAAGGAGAATCAAGTTCTCAAGTGTCGTCTAAAGAAACTGTCGCGGTCGTGGAAGAAAAAGTTTGCCTTCATGATGATGGTTTGGAAACTCGCGTCGATGCTACAAATGCAGGGATGATATCATAACTTACGTCAATGCTATGGACATAAGTATTATCTTTACTGAAGCGGTTGTGACAAAGGATACGTGGGCTCAATCATGGAGAAACAGTCCTTGCAGGCACGAAGTCAATCCAAGGGCTTGTGTCTCGCTGGAAGGAAATGCTGCAGCAGCGCAAGCCATGCTCAGCTTGTAAGCCGAGCTGTCAGGCCACAAGGGGCATGTAGGGAGGTGGCTGAAGAAGCAGTCTGCCCAATCAGCTGTACAACAGCTTGAGGCCCATCAAGAGAAGAATGTGGATGGCTCATTGTGTGGTGGTGACTCGTGGCTAGTGATTGCCTGTATCTGCATTGGTATTTCACAAAGAGAAGAGGATGATGCAGCACAACAACGGTAAGTATTTTCCTCAGTTATGAAACCAAGGTATCAATCCAGTAGGAGGATCCACCCAAACTATGTAAGCAGTACCTTCACACAAATAACAAAAACTTGCAACCCAACGCGTAAGAGGTGTTCTCAATCCCTCCTCGGTATTGAGATAGATTAAATTGTATGAGATTGGATAAATAGATCTAACAAAAACACAAAATAAAATAAGTAAAGAAAAAGTGCAGCAAGATATTTTTTGGATTAATAGATCTGAAAATAATATGATAGGAAATAGACTCGGGGCCGTAGATTTCACTAGAGGCTTCTCTCCAGAAAATAGCATATGGTGGGTAAACAAATTACTGTTGGGCAATTGATAGAAGAGCAAATAATTATGACGATATCCAAGGCAATGATCATGTATATATGCATCACGTCCAAGATTAGTAGACCGACTCCTGCCTGCATCTACTACTTTTACTCCACATATCGACCGCTATCCAGCATGCATCTAGTGTATTAAGTTCATGGTAAAACGGAGCAATGCAATAAGAACTATGACATGCTCTAGACAAGATCTATTCATCTAGGAATAGACCCCATCTTTTTATCCTTAATGGCAACGATACATGCGTGTCATGTCTCTTTCTGTCACTGAGATTGAGCACCGCAAGATCGAACCCATCACAAAGCACCTCTTCCCATTGCAAGAAAAATCAATTTAGTTGGCCAAACCAAACTAAAGTT